GTCACAGGCCACACCGAGGGCCCATTCTGACACCACGTCATCGCCGGGACCGTCTGCAATGGGCAACACAGCACCAGCATTGGCGCCGCCAGCAGTGGAGAAGAGTTCTCTTCTCAGACGAGAGTCGTTACTGTATCTCAACAGCAGGTGGCAGAGAGAGAGTCTTGCGACGCCGTTGGGAAACGTTATTCGGATGCTTGTGTTGTTGAGAGAGACACGTGGGGTGGTCCGAGCACCATGGTGTGGGGTGGAATTGGTCTTGCACAGAGGGTTGGCCCTGTGGTCTCCCAGAACATCGGTCCAGGGAGGGGCAATGGTGTCACAGCAACTCAGTACATTGATCAAGTCTTGAGACCACACGCCAGACCTCATTTGGCACGTCGCCGCAACCACGAGTTTCAGCATGATAACGCCCGTGCCTACTCCGAGAGCAACAAGAGAGTTCCTCCAGCAGAATGGCATCAGAACCATGCAGTGGTCCCGGCGTCAGTCCCGATTTAAATCCCATTGAGCACCTGTGGGACGAGATTCAAAGATGGCTGAATGGCGTCCGACCAAGGCCGACAACTGCAACTGAACTGCGTCAGTTTTGCCAAGTTTCATCTTTTTAATATGTCTCAAAGTATGTTTGCAGTGTGTGGACAAATAAGGTTTCTCATATATCTATCCATGGCGACGTTTCTTTTGCGGTTCAGTATAGTTAGATTGTCCGTCATGATAACTGCACACCTTCCTTTCCCCCACCCCCAAAGCCCCAACCCCCAATACACGCATTGGTGCTGGATCAGCCTTCTGTAGTGACACCAACTATCCACATCCTGGTGTCCAATTACAATTAGCTTACGGAAAAATTAGTCACCCATGAATAGTAATTGTTGATTCGTTTCTATATGTAAACTTTCCTTCCTCGTGAATGATGAATGTTGGAGAGCATCGTTATTACTCCAGTATGGACCCGAGACCGTGTTCCGCATGACAAGTGACCGCCTTTCACCACATGAATACCTCATCGCCCCGAGCCTGAAGTTATATTGTAGTTCGGCGTATCGATAGACACTGTCTCTATGACAACTACGTTACAACTTCAGTCTTCAGATTATGTATATCGCTGTAACTGAAGGCCACATCTCATGTTTATGTTACTGTTGCTTCAAGGCGTGGGTGAGTGTTTTTACCACGAACGAAGATCCCAGTCCGCTGTATATTCCTCCTGGTGAGGTTGATGGTGAGACTTCTACAGAAACTACGTATGTCTGACTTTGACATGCAAGTATAGACGCTACATATTAGATACTAACCCCGGCATGCCATCACAAAGTAGAGACATTAAACACTGTGCTTGACAAATACTAGGACAATGACGTCCTTTGAAGTTGTTTTGTTAACTGCGTAGCTTCTGTGCATGTGTGTTTAGCTTCGTGTATGCAAGGTCCCTCTGACATGGATGTAACAGATATGTATGTTTACCGAAACGTTCACAATAGCCGTTGTAATGACTCTCAAAATAGAATACAAATAAATCTAAAACTGATCCAAATCTGTCCCAAAATGTAAAATTAGAGATAGAGAATGACCAATTACAATTCACAATAAAAGCGACAAAACCATTTCCATATTCCTAAGAAATCCCTGGTGAAAGTAGTGTACGTATATTGTACGATTCCGACTATATTAAGAGCATTTGTGTATGAATCATTATCAAAAAGTGGAAAAATGGAACTGTCCTCCACATGTCTACCATAAAACTTGGTCATACCTTGATCAAACAACTTCTGAGCAAGAGTCGTCTGGCTGCGGTGTATGCAGTTCTGCTTACCACCAAGTGATGTATGTATCACTTACACGCATAAACAACTGCACATAGTAATGCAATGTTGAGCAATATATCAATATATAGATGTGCGTATGTGTGTAATTATATATTTTATTAACTTGTCATGATTACTCATGAAGGATCATCATATTATCAACACCGATTAGCACTTTCCTACGCCTTCATTTACACTTGAAATTATTCTTAAATTAATAAAGGGCAAACATTTCAGACAAGGTCAATCGTGTTAACGCTGTTTCCATCAACACATTGACGTCATGGCAAAGTATGCGTGTACGTGTCTGGCTATTACTGTCTTAGACACACAGATGTTGAACCAAGACTCATCAAACAGCATAAAGCATGTGGTCACGGAATCGCTGTGTCTACTGCTGGAAGATACCTGATGGAGGTGTCACACTGAGTTTGTTATTGTCACGTTTTTTGACATGTCACGTGTTGTAGATGTATAATATCAGGCCATGTGTCCCTTAGAAACATTCAGTACGGTACCATACGAAATGTGCGTGAAACACTCCTGACAAAACATTAACAGAACTCCGAGTCCCGTAGAGACCCGGGTTAGAATCGGTTTTCAGCAACCCATGTTTGTCGTAAAAGGCGACTAACAGGATTGGGTTATCAGGCTCGCTGACATGGTTAATGCGTGGCATCGTATCCCAAATTGCGTAGTTCGATGCTCATGATATCAATTACTGGTATATCTAGTCCAGACTCGATTATGTATGGAACGCGGTCAAATAGCTTTAACATTGCCGAGTGCAGCGTTCAACAACAAACAAGCATTGCCCCCGAGAGGATACCAACTACGTCTTGGTGGACTTTAGAATCAAGAAGTACATTCCCATTCCATATGAACTATGACTGTCACAAAAGCAAGTTTAACTCCAGTGGGAAACATAGTTTCACACAGTGTAGCCATATGAGAATCGAACACGGGTATTTGCTTTTACTACTAGATTACAGTTGTGTTAGAGAAGCCCTTACCACAAGACAAAACACACGTAATCAATGTAAATATTGTTGTTATGTGGTGTTTGATTTATCATCAGGAGTATGATAAACGTACCGACAAAAGAAACGTGAATACCATTATATGATACATGTTGGTTATATCTGAAGAATTACTCATACTCAACAGATATTCGATGCACAAACGAACATACTGGCATGATGTGTGAACCGACGCTCATGAACGCATCAAATGCGACGTCATAGATCCATGACTCGAGATGCACAATTTTTCTCGTGCAGGATTAGCGTGTAAAGTTTGGAAATCACGTGCAAGATATTGTGATAAAAATATAGTCACTGTGGTAACACTTGACTGGTTGTTAGTTCTGTCATTAATTGGTATACGTTGGAAACATCTCTTCTTAACATACATGCATACTTCTCTCTATGTTTCTATAGTTCGCGTTTCTTTTGGCGGTGAGTATATACGTTATTTTAAAATTCCAACAATTTCCGATGTTGTACTACCAGACTGAATACACATGCATACAATATACTGTCTAACAAGTTAAACAATCCCAACATTTATTGGAGCAAATATGGTAAGGTATGCAAAAGAATATCTGTTCAGTGTATATACTTCCTGGTTTACACAACCCGTCACGTGACGAGACAACAAACGCCTGATAGATAACATTCAGTTTTCTTCTGACTACAGGTGTTGAGCGGGTGGTGGAAGTACAGCCATGGCTCTGGCTAAAGGTAGGTTTGAACAGCTTCACACACATATACACGTGTAAATATACAGGTTAAGATAAGTTTAAGCTTCTCTTCGGTGTACCCATATGACATATTGTTGTAATTCACACCACGACGCACCCTGTTGAGCCAAGGTAATGTTTCTATTATGTCACTCAAACATACCACGAGTTGTACACTCGGGAAAACTCGGCTCGTTCCGCAACCTTACCTGTGCAGCATTGCAGTAAGGACATCACATTTGACTGCAATCTTTGAACCAAATTCGTCGTGACATCATTTGTAGATATGTGGGGAAACTTACATTGCCTTACCTATTGTTTGCCGATGATTAATTAATTCATACACAGTACGTAATACATACTTAGTTAGGCTTACTTGGTTTATACACAGAGAATGTCTGAGTTTACCACACGACACCAGCTACAAGGACCGCGAGTGTAGACAGACAACAGGCTAGGGATCTTTGATCCGCACTACATTCCTCTCTTGCATTTGTTTAGTTTTCAAGATCAATAGAGGTTATCACGCGAGTGTGTTTGGGGATGGTAAATATCCTGCATTAGGAATAAACATTGTATTTAGCGAGCCTTGGCTCAATTTAATTCAATTTAGCGGGGTTAAATCTACAGGTAACCTAGCTCTACATTGAAAACACAGTATGTTTATCTCCTAATCAGCATTCGAGTTTGATCGTTATTTCAGTAAAGTGGGAGTATTGTGGGTAGTCACACAGGTTGTAGATGTCTTGTAACGTGGTTCCCGGCAGGAGCGGGGATACACCGAGGGCAATAATTAGAGCGATCCTGGATTCGCTGCCATGGTCCCCAGATCCTAGCACGTCCAAGGGACGCAATCTGTCGCCCCCCATACAATTTCATCACCTGTGCCCAAAACTAATTTTGAAGCAATGTAACGGAGCAGGTTATTTATAAACCAGCTTCAACTCGGGACGTATCTTATGAATGCAGTTATTATATATGTTAGTATTACGTTTCACACCCATTTTACCTCCGGGTGACCAGGTATGTTGAACAGTTTGCCTTTTGATACTGGCCAACGCAACGACATGCACAAAGGTTTTTTATGACCAAGACGAAATATCGTGAATAAACATGAGAGGTTTTAATATTGAGTGGAAATTTCAGACGAAATGCGTGACAAGTCGTGTAAAGGCTTCATTGAATACCGTTTGTATACACCAGGAAGTTAAGAATTCAATAATATTCTATTTAAGAGCATTATGTTCATGTTTCTCCTGTGATTGTCCTGTCCAGTGTGTAATATCGTCATTCTATTATGACCGGAAGACTAGTACCACCCTATGAAGATCACAATGGAATAGTGACATAATGTACTGGATAATCGAGGCCAATGTTTCTAACGTGCGGGGAAGTACAATGTTCACTTGAGTTCATCGGTGATCTACGTACATCTACATACTAGTAGTTACCTATTCTTTCTGTGGAGACCGTGACGTCTCAAGGGAACTATCTGTCGCCCTGATCGGTGTACCAGACAACCTACAAATATACATGACACAAAGCGTTAACACACTATAAATATTACAATATTATCTACGTAACGGGTACAGGTTAAGTAAGCTGTGAATGGGTGTCAGAATATAAAGTTCTGAGGAGCGGCCCTGCTGTCCTGTGTCACATACTGTACGGACTGGGTATCTGTGGGCTGACTGACAGGGAAGAACATATAACAGGTTATAAATAACATGGATTGCAATATACTATACAATGTAACTCAACCATACGCTTACATGTCACAATGTGATCTACTGCAGCTGGGAAAGGCTCTGTGTATTAAATGGGTGATGTGCATGTGGGTGCAGTGATGAACATATTATACACGAGTGATGCCATATAGCACCCCTGTCTGTTTATTTACTCGGCATTCAAATGACAACATTGATTTGAGCATTGTGCATATAAATACCCCGACGGGATGACTGGTATTCAGATGTTCTGCACTGTTCACACACACATGCATTTGTTGGATGTAGTTTCACGGCAGACGTTGTTGTACCGACATAAGACAGTGAAGTATGATGCCACACACATTGTGTTTGGTATTTTCTGGTTCAGCTTATCACTCGAGACTGGACTATTTGGGGATTCCGGGGCACCATAGGCCCAACAAAATGGTACACGTATACTATCAGTACAAAGCGGCGTTATACCAGACTCAACCATTCATTCAGCCTTTACAAACTATTGAGGGGTTATGTCAGGGAGCGTGGAGTTTGTCGGACAATTATTTGTAAGAAATGAATGTCATGGTGAAAAGTTTCTAATGTCAAAGTATTCCTGTTCTGCTTACATTTATAACATTGTCTCCAATATATTGATACCGTCTTTATTCTGTTTCGTGTTTACTGTCAGTTATGTTGTTGTGAAAGTAAACAGGTGTGTCACAAACAAAATACACAGCAGCATGTACAGACCTACCCATCATTGTGGGAGTGGCGCAGTGGCCATGGTATGTAGAGTTGCGTCCCTTAGCCGTGTCAGGCTGCGTTTCTGTGGGCGTTCCTCTAACGACAAGCTCATGTATCTAGAATACTGAGGTTCTGAATTCAAAAACTTTAATTTCACTGCTATCCTAAGTGCCCCTTTGTAATTGTTGCCTTAGACGCAACACTGTGTTCTTCAGTTAATGTACATGTATACTAAAAGAGATGCATGCATTAATGTTCCAGGGGAAATGGCGTTCAAACACAACAACCAACCACTGACCCTGCGCCAGTATTACGAGATGTACAAGATGTCTCTACCAAGCTTCATCTCGGTGACACAGGGCTACTATGGAGGCAACGAGATGGAGGTGCTTGGTAACGGACAGGTGCGTCTCCATATGTATTGATAGGCTCTCACCCCAGTGAATGCAGAGTATCCTTGCTAATTACCACGTAGGCGGATGATAAGCTACAATGGTTGGTTATTCCACACAACCAGGCAATTTGAAACACAATGTCATATTACTTGTATCTCTTTCACGTGATAACAGTTCGGGTGAAACACTCGTGAATCAGTAAAACATAACAAGGATACCATCAGGTTTTCGTGACACTGCCCTGCCCTGCCCTGCCCTGCCCTGCCCTGCCCTGCCCTGCAGGGCTGTGCTCCACTGGGCTGTCTCATTGGTCAAGACAATCCATGTGCAGCCCACTGCTCTGGCGTGTCAGATGTTCAGTTTGTATAACACGTCTACGGCTTTGTCACCCACACTCCCATTATTGCGTGTAGTTCGTCTATACTGTTATAAGGTACAAATGCATCTCAAAAACATTAGAAAATTGTAATTTATTAAACCTTGGACAGTTTCAGTCAATATGGCAATTAACTTAGTGAGTATCTCGTATAAATATAGTGTATTTCGTGTATACAGTTTGTGTATTTCACTATATAGTGTGTGTATTTCTCCTATACAGTGTGTGTATTTCTCTTATACACTGTGTGTATTTTACCTATACAGTATTTCTACTATATACTGTGTGCATTTCTCTAGTACAGTGTGTGTGTGTGTGTGTGTGTGTGTGTGTGTGTGTGTGTGTGTGTGTGTGTGTGTGTGTGTGTGTGTGTGTGTGTGTGTGTGTGTGTGTGTGTGTGTGTGTTGCCGATAAAGGTGTGCTTTTCAAATATACATTTTGTGTATTTCACTTACATATTGTGTGTATTTCTTCTATACAGTGTGTGTATTTCTCCCATTGAGTGTGTATAATTTTCCTATACAGTGTGTGTATTTCTCCTATTGAGCGTGTATACTTTCCCTATACAGTGTATGTATTTCTCCTATTGAGTGTGTATAATTTTCCTATACAGTGTGTGTAAATCGTGTATACAGTGTGTGTATTTCACCTATACAGTGTTTGTATGTCGCTTATACAGAGTGTGTATTTCTCCTATACGGTGTCTGTATTTGACCTGTACAGTGTGTATATTTCTGTATACAGTCTGTGTATCTGCCTGCAGGTACTGCGGGTACATTCGTGTGTACACCAGAGACGCGCAGTGGCGGTGGACACCACCAAAAGAACTCTGAGCATCCCCACAAACTATGCACTGAAATTCCGGGTCATCAACGCCAACAATAAAGGTAATACACAGCTGACACGATGAACAAAGTGTGGAGGTAGACATGAGCGCGAGGAGTGCAGCCCGCTACACTTACACTTTACGCCCCTTAACTTTTACCAACTTACAATTACACACTCTCACATTTACACGCTTATATACTCAACCGCAAAAGAAACGTCACCATGGATAGATATATGAGAAACCTTATTTGTCCAAACACTATAAACATACTTTGAGGCATATGAAAAAAGATGAAACTTGGCACAACCGATCATCAAGGATGAAATTAAAGTGTCATATTGTTCTTAAAGTGAAACACAACACCAGTCTCTGAGAAAATGGCATCACAAGTCAGTATCTCGTGTGTCCGCCATTGGCATTGATGACTGCCGTGCAACGTCCATACATGGAATGGATGAGGAGGTTGATGAAGGCCATAGGCACTTGAGCCCACACCATTGTGACACCATTCCCCCTCCCTGGACCGATGTTCTCGGAGACCACAGGGCCGACCCTCTGTGCAAGACCAATTCCACCCCACACCATGATGATCGGACCACTCCACGAGCTTCTCTTAACAACACAAGCATCCGAATAACGTTTCCCACGGCGTCTCTCTCTCTCTCTGTCATCTGCTGTTGGGATACAGTAACGGCTCTCGTCTGAGAAGACTCTTCTCCACTGATATTGGCGCCAATGTTGGTGCTGTGTTGCCCACTGAAGACGGTCCCGGTGATGACGTGGTGTCAGAATGGGTCCTCGGTGTGGCCTGTGACAGTGGAGGTGTCTGCTACTCAATCGTCGACGCACGATGTCCGCACTCATGTGTCGCCGGTCCCGCAGCAGTAACAAAGCGATCTTGAAGATGCTGTCGCACAATCTGACGATCCTGACGTTGGATGGTGACCCTTGGTCTTCCACTGCGTGGTCGGTCATCTGTAGTGTTGGTGGTCTGGTAAAGTTGTTGGAGCCTGTATATGGTCCTTACAGAAACTTGAAATGCATTGGCTACTTGCCAGGCGGTTTGTCCAGCTTGCAATCGTCCAAGGGCTTGGTGTCACTGATTTCTAGTCAATCTTGGCATGTGGTAGCAATTCAATAACGAATGAATGTTATCCGATGTTGGTGGATTTTTATAGGGCAAGAAATGGGTGAACGCGTGTGCGTGTGACAAGGTAATGTTAAATTTTAGAAACTTTGACAAAAATTACCCAGATATTTAAATGACAACTTTTCATGCAATGTTACTTGGTGTGACGTTTCTTTTGCGGTTCAGTATACTTTTACACACTTAGCCATTTACACCCTTTTACTTTTGTAAAATTACAATAATACACTTTATCTTGTACACACTTCCACTTTTACACACTTGCGCTTCTACACATCCACATATACACTACTGCACACGTACAATACTGCACATTTACACTCTTGCGCACTTACATGTACGCAATTACACATTTACACTATTACACACTTACAATGTCCAACTGTCGACTGCAATTTTACGAAAAGGTATGCTGGAGGAAGGCGACGTCACCAGTTGCAATGGTGTGTGCATGCTCACACTCATTCTGCGGAATAATAGCATGACAAAATATGTTTCTTTGATTGGCCAAATAATACTATAACGAGAGTATCATACTCGCATGTTTGTCATACTGATTTTGATAAACCAGTGTCCGAATTCTTGTATTTCGAGTGTAATACATGAAGTCTTATTCGAGTTAATAAAATCAGTGTGACATACATGCGAGTGTAATCAATCCCCCCTTCTGAAAAACGACTGCCGTCTTGGAAAACCACAATTGTAGAATGACGTCACCTCTTCAGCTATGACGTCGTTTCTAGTATAATGTCATTCCGACCTTACGTCACAATAAGATTCGATTGACGTCACAATTCCTTCTGGATGACGTAAACTAGTGCATTTATAATGAGCCTGATTCCATTCACCAAGTGGATGCTCATAGCGCTACACTATTATTACCCCGGTCAATTTTCAACTCGAGTTTCATTCTCAGCTCCCTGGGGAGTATACAGCCATTGTATATGACATTGTAAAATAATTGAAATAAATTCCAAAGTGAAAAAACAGCTGCTCGATTGAGATGAGGTTAGCTTTCGCTATGTCACGTGACATCCATTGGGCATGTAGTACCCGTGTCCAGGTACAAGAGATTTATTCCCCCGCTGAGAAATGTATTACCCTCCAAGGTGGGTTACACAGTATTTTAAAAAGATCACTTGGGCCAATCAAATCTCATCATTCGGACATGGTGGTATAATAACGCTATTTACGCAGATACCAAGTTGTTGAGTCCTCAACATCCACACTTGTTATCACATGTTAAAGTTGAGCGATTATGACGACTCAGTGAAAATGTCCTCTTTTCCGGAATGCACACAGATTCATAGATTCGCCATACTGT